TCGGCGCTCCAGCGGTACAGAAGCCTAAACCGAAACCGACTGGAAGAGTTCAGTATCATAACTCTACGATGGGGTTAAGTGGACATACGCAGGAATCGGGCACCAATAAACATCTCGACGTTTTGAGCTGCCGCTTGTAGGACGGCACCGCCGACAACGATGACGGCTCCAATGAAGATAGTCCATTTGCGACCAAGACCGTCGCACATGTATGGGGCAAAGGGCAAAGAGCCCAGAGAGCCGATGTTCTGAATAGCACCCAAAAGACCAAGTTTAGAACCATCCGGATAGTCAAATGCGCTCTCCCATTGTTCGAGGAGCTGGAGACCGTCTAAAGAGCGCGGAAGCATGAAGGTCAATAATCAAAACATGGGAGTGATAGTGTATGCTACGCACTCATCATACTCCCATCGTATCCGTTGGCCATAGACGTGATTAACCTGTGTACATATGGGACTCTGTCCATGGGGTCGACGGAGCAGAGTGCTTACAGCAAGAAGATCCATAAGTTCAGCTTAACCAAACGACTGTTCTTGTACCACTTCTTGCTTGGGTCGATAAACTTGTGGTAGTCTTGCATTCCAGAAGAGCTGGTGTCCACAGCTGGGCCTCCCATCTTGTTCGTGAACTGACTGAGAAGAGGTGGGAGGAAGTCGGTGGGATGTCAGTGAAGGCTCACCCCACTCCTATAAATGGAAGCGAAAGCGTTAAGTAAACAATGTACCAATTCTCCGGAGTTCCTTCGATCATAGATGAATGTGGGGTAGCGCGGGCGGGGTCCGGGGAAGGGGATCTTCGATGGACCAGCTGACCACGAAAATATCGTTGCCAGTGCGTTGGAAGAGCTCAAGTACATCGCATGTAAATTCTGCCTGCCTCGATGGTGTGCCTTGGTCGTATAAGCGAGTATCATCCCACTGTCGAAATACGGAGGCAAAGATAGCAGCCACCTTGCTATCCTATTGGTCCGTGATGAGAATGGTGAGAAGCATCGACCGAACTCTGCTGAGCCCAACTCTGCGTCATACGTCGTTGTATCACCTGGTGAAGCCTGGAAGCACGGCGGGCCGCAAGAATAAGCCCGGCTAGAATCCTCCCGAATCAACGGGCGGATGAGAACCTACATGTCTAATAGTTAACGGCATTTGGTAGATCATTGAGCTTGCTACGGAGAAATGCTCTCATCGTAATTGGCGTCAGAGCGGGTCTGAGTTCATGTTTCAACGTAATCACGTGTCGCCATTATTGTGTAGTTCGCCATGAATGGCGTCCAAGACCGATCCAGTTGACGTCTATCGTGTCTTTCCCCTTCTGTTATGATTCTCTTGTGGCTCACTAAATTATAAATACACTGTAGTTTGTGCCAAGCGTGAGGCGAGAGCGAAGCTCACCAGGAGCAAATCCGAGCGATAGCTCACTCGCTAGTAACCATCCACTGGGTACGTATTACTTAGGAGCTGAGGATTGCGGTGGCAATGATTGACTAGCCAGAGTGAGGTGCCTTTCTCAGCGTCTTCTTATCGTTGGTCTCCTATGTTCGCTCAGACAAGGAGGAAGCCAACTTCCAGCAACACAAAATCGCTTGACCTTCCAAGCCCACGCCTGATAAAATTCAAGTTACGCTTGCGGGGAAAGTTAACAGCAGTTATTCCGGAATAACCCCATACACTCACCTGACGATCTTCTTAACGTCGTGTGCGCCGCTAATATCGCCACAAAATACACCCAAAAACAGAACCCCACCGTCCTTGACCTGGTCAGCTGATGTTTGGTCACAGTCTGAGAAGGATAAGAGAAGGAACGCACATTTTCCCGGTCGGATATAAGTCATAGTACACCAGCCGGTACATTCCTTACTGGCTCAACTCTATGGCGGGCTACAGTATCGAGCACGCTATCCGATCGACGGAAACTTGGCTGAGGCGAACGCTCGTACTTGCGTGTCGTCCCTCCCTTATGAAGCGCTCTGTTGTTCGGACAGAACTGAGAACTCGGCTTCAACATTGTCAGGAACGAAAGGATATTCAATGTCCGCACGAATTCCTCCACGGCTCGACGAGTGTCAACGAACCTGTCCGATCTGCTGGAGAAAGGCTGGGGGCGAGACCAACGGTGAACAGTTCTACGTGAGGTTTGGGTATGCGCTATTTCCGTGAAAGCCTACGAGAGACTACCAACGTTCTGAAGAGCAGGCAATCCACTCGGGGGGGTAGGTGTCATCTATCAACCTATATGTATTGCTGTCGGAACTGAAGTGTGACTGACCTCGATGTGTCGCGCGACCTGGCCCTCCATGCCACCCCAAGTTATCGCTCCTTCAACATAAAGCTCTTCAACTATGATTTGATGGCGGAATTGGGGCGAGCTATCTCCTTTTCGGTTCGTCGTCAGGCTGAGGCTGGTGTTCTGGGACACGGATGACCAGAAACGCGTGGATACACACGTTTTGTTTCGTACTCAGGTAGAAAGAGTGTTGAGTGCAGCTCCATGCAATAGTCACAAAGTGACCACGCATATGGTTTCTATGGGAATTGTATGGGATGGGAAAGAACGAGCCAAAAAAAAGATGAGTAAGCAGATTGGATCGGGAGGTCGTTGCCTTTCTTGTCAAGTTGTCTCGGCACTTTGACGATATACAGGAGAGTCACGGTCAGATAATAAACCAGACAATCATCGTCATGAAGATTCTCGGTCACGTAGTGAGACGCAGAATGTACAAGTCGATATATACATAGTTTACCAAGTCCAAAGAAGATGTCCATCAAAAAACGAAGAAAAAATAAGAAGCAAAAAGCTGTCAACGCATTGGTGTCCGTCATCCTGAGGTGCATCAAAGGCTATTGAAGTAGGCCTCAAGGTCAAGGTAATCGACATCCTCGAAGTCAGCCCTCCTAGCGATGGCGTCGCCACTGATAGAAACACCTCCGTCGCCAGCGCGGTCTAAGGACAAAGCGGTGTGAATGAAGGGGAAGCTACGAGCTCAGGCGTCGAACTTACTGCCTCCGTTGTTGACGATGCTTGACTTTCCGTTAGCGATGTTGTTGACCGAACCACCGTTGGCGTTCCCGGCGTTGCCAGAGCGAGCATTGCCGCCGCCAGAGGCGATGGCGCCGCCAGAGCGAGAGACGCCACCATCACCAGCTCGGTCTGATAAAGACCAGATCAGCGAATGGAGGGGGAGAGTATGAGGCTAAGTAACTTACTGCTACCGTTGTTGACGATGCTCGACTTGCCATTGGCGACGTTGTTCACATCACCACCGTTGGCGTTGCCGGCGTTACCAGAACGGGCATTTCCGCCACCAGAAGCGATAGCATCACCAGACCGAGAGATACCACCGTCACCGGCCCTGTCTAGGGAGAAGATTACTAACGAATCCTCGAAGAACGGAGGGGCACTCACTGCTGCCGTTATTGACGATGGAAGACTCGCCGCTGGCCTTGTTGTTGACGCTACCGCCGTTGGCATTGCCTGCGTTACCGGATTGGGCATTGCCACCACGGAACTTCCTGAACTTCTTCCATTCAATGAAGCTCTTGAAGTCGCGGAGGTCATCGCGGGAGTCGCGGGTGGCGAGAGTAGCGGACTGGAGAGGAGCGCCTGCGACCAACACAGGACTCAAAGCGGTTGCAGCGAGAACAAAGGTCGAGAAAAAAGAGAGCTTCATCTCGAAAAAAGTGGAATAAGAAAGCAAAGGAAAAGTAAGATGAAGCTGTTGGAAGAAGAAAGTGATGAAGAGGAGTGAGTGACTCTTCCGTGAAGGCGAAACAGTGAAACTTTGGTGGAGGATCAGGAGGCCTGAACGCAGCTGGATTTATACTCGAAGGTTAGACCCCTGAGCAGTTTACTCATGATCTTAAGCCATCCTGCATTTTGGGTTTGGTGCAGATATTGATCGACGTCTTGACACTAGCCCCTAGGGTTAGCCATACCCCACGATACGGTGAGGACCGCCAGTGCTTCGTTTCGCACCGCTTCATTCATAGCTGCATCTCAGAAAGATAAGCGGACGTCAGAGAGCACAATACGCAGCACTCTGACAAGGCGTTATACATACCCAAGCTTTCGCCAACCGATAGCAGTGCAACGCCGACGGAGGTATTATTCATCGACATGGCCTCTCACTACGAAAAGGATATAGATTTTCGGGAAAGTCATAAACGGAAGCATTCCTAAAACAAAAGCGGTGCGCACCACCCACCGTACTATACAGCTTGAAGGGACCCTGTTTCGCAGTGAAACAACGTACGAGCACCATGTCGTGAAGAGAAGAAGGGGATATTTGTGTCTTGGCACCAGCTCCGTAGTTCTGGACATTGTACACCGTGGGGGGGGCTTTGAGGGCTCGGTAATGCGGTGCAACTTTGCAGTGTCTGACCGCCCTTCGAGCAAGCCAAGCTACCCCTGCGAACATAAGTTCAGAGCTATATGCTCAAATGGTACCATTGGCCACCTACGTATCTGGTTCCGTGCTCCTGGAGTCACCTCAACGTGAAACCCCGCCGAGGATTCAGACTTGCTGATGCAAGTTTGCATCATAGCCACCGACAACCTTCTGGTTGCTCTGTTTTGTTGAGAGCCGTGACCTACAATATTCGAATTCCCTCGTCCAGTGGCAGGATGTTTTGAGTTACTCTGCTAGTAGTAGTACTCGAAAGTGAGCTGTGATCGGCTGGCGCTTTGGGCGCTCCGATGAGTCTGAACATTACAAACGCCGCTGCGGCGTTCGCAGTCACTATTGCTGGATAAGTTTTCATTTACAGTACTGTCATACTGGTACTAAGGACTTTGATTCGTTCTGGCTTTCCATAGACGAACGAACGAGATAGAAATAATACTCGTTACCTATGGTAAGAATGAACATTCAAAGATGTCCCCCCTTGTCAATCGCAGCGTTCGTAAAGTTGTCGAACATGTTTTCTCCTCATCGGTGTCAAACCAGTGTAATCATAAGCAGACCAAGAAGACGTAAAAGCGAACGTTTAGAATACGAAAAAGAGTGATGAGAGTGGGATTCGAACCCACGCCCTATTCGGACCAGATCACGTGACTGAATCACCTTAGTCTGGCGCCTTAGACCGCTCGGCCATCTCACCTTGTTGATTGAGCGGCATTTTGCTGACCTCCGCCTCCCAGGCGGGCTACTTCGTATTTACACCAGTCCGAGTCTTGCCAATGACCAGTGATGTTCTCGCGGTCCCCAGCCCAGTCGAAAGATTCAAGCGGGTAAAACTTTCATAGTACAGCTACAAGGTAAGAGCAAGGGGGGATAGCTACACGACTTGGAATTGTTGGAGGCTAATCACCGTTACATACATGTAGGGGCTTTCGGCGAGCAGCAATGTTTAGTTGCTGGAGCCTGAAGTAGGAGGTTTGATGGGACCACCGGGGTTGACCGGTCCTCCCGGGTTGGGAAGAGGAATCAACACTGAGTTGGGATCCACGACAGTGACCTGATTGAGAACCGAGACCCTCCTTGGGTCGAACAAGCCTCCCTTGCCAGGCAAGTGCGGAGGTTCGATGGTTGGGTCTCGGATAATCCTGCATACGGCGCGTTAACATCAAATATGACGGTGTTCTCAAGGTTATAGATGCTTACACGACATTCAAGGATGATGTGACGATGCGAGTTTCAGGCACCCCGAGGACCAGGAACTTCTCGTCAATTGTAGCCTTGAAGGAGGCACCAACGTCTCCGGCCTAGGTGAGATCCACAGCTCTGCGTGAGTATTCGATTCTATAACTATCAGAATTGAATTGGCACTTACGACATCGGTCTGGGTGGGATCAGCAGGAACCTCCACAGTGGCCAGGAAGTTAACCTCCGCGCCGGCCTCCTCAAACTTCTGGCTTAAGAGCTGCTGCATGTACTGGTCTCTGGAAATCTTCTTTCCGTTCACAGTGATGCTGGCATTTTTAGCTACAAATGCATTGAATGCATCGGTGAACGCGTCTTTGCTGGTCGCAGTATACAGTGTGGTGACATGCTGCTTCACCCAATCTGTGAGGCCTGGGAGGACGGCAGCAGTGGACATGGTGGTAGATGTTGAAGTTGAGGGAGATGTGGATGAGAGAGGTGAGTTGGTGGTCACTTCTTCAACTTATTATGTTCTTATATATCAGATATCACGACAGTTACCGCCAGTCGCAGCTTTGTGTTCCGCTCCTACATCGTGAAAACCCAACTCCGACGGGCTTGCGCGTACTGCCTTCTCGGTGAGTTTACAATGAACGTTCGAAGGGCGGCGGTTCATGAGCCTCGTGCAAGACACGGGCAACCCAGGCAGACGCCACAAACGAAATAGCTCAACTGCCTGGAGCTAAATCGTTCTTAAAATAACTGCAACTCGCCGCCCGCACTGCACGTACGGAAGTTCGATCGGAGGTGTTTCCACTATGTCATAGCTGTGGCTCTACGGGTGCGTCTCGGATGCCCGGCACACCAAAACGGTCCCTTGTTTATGAGCAAAGGTGACGGTACGCGCGGACTAACCTGGAACGCGTAAAGCTTGATGCCACCGTGGTTCGGTAGTACGGACGAAGGCATGAATGTCCTTCTGAATCCGGCCTGGGGTATTCAGTTCGCTGCTTTTATTGTGATATGTAGGCTAATAGCGCGTTATATAGACCTCTAAGCAGACATTGGAGGGGACCGGGCACGATCAAGACTCACGTTAAATTGCAAAATCCGATGCGCACTCAGTCTACCCTATTGACAACACGTCATTGACTTTCAGACGTAGTTCTGTTGCCTCAATGCCGGAGTTTTACGCCCACCGGACGCCAAACCTGAATCTCCATACTGGATACCGCTCAGAACTTCGGGGATTTTTAGTAAGGATTATCATCTAGTTGCTGCGAAATCATGCTAAAGCTCACTTTGAACTCTATTATACTGCGCCTTCATTCCTCGTTTGTTGTTGGGTCACGCATCAGTTGTAACCCCGCGATGGATCCGAGGTTGGATCGGAGAGCTTTCCAGGCGTCTTTGGTGAGGGTGGGCGAAACGTTTACTCACTGCGCTCGTGTACTTATGTTACTAGCCCGTGCAATATTCGTCAAATCTTGCCAATGGTATGTGATCTTATCCACAGAGTATATTCACTCAGCTGACTGATTCTGTGGATGAATAGACTCTCTTATATTATCATATGAAAATACGTGGGATGCATATCGCGAATCGGGTCGAAGAGGAAAATGACCGACATAAGCGATGGTTCGTCCGAGCCATCATACACTGGTAAACTACTTCCTGCGACAGCGTCGCCTACAAGTTCGTGCGAACACTGGTCACCTGGCTCAGCACGGAGACTCTCCTCTGATCATGATCTCCAACGGGCTCCCCCTGGCCGGGTTGAATGTTCTCGTCGAAGATAATACTGAAAAGGGTGATGAGTCCGATTTCCTGTCTACTGAATGTTTCGATTTATACTTACGCGACGTTCAAAGACGAGTCAATGGAGCGGCTCCTGGGGATCCCTGTGTGCGGGAATCTCTCGTCAATGGTAACTTGGAATGCCGTGCCAACATCGCCGGTCTATAGTCAGGGTACCCCAGTTAGTGCTGTACATATTCTCGAACTCTCGCCTGCTTCACTGACCAAAGGGGGTTTGTGGTTGTCACCAGCGACTTCGACGGCGGACAAGAACTCCACTACGGCGCTCTTCTGGTCCGCCTTCTGGGTTTCAAGCTGCTTCTTGTACTCCTGCCTGGAGAGCTTGCGACCATTGACGGTAATGGTAGCATGTTCGTGGATAAACGTATTGAAGGCAATGTCGAACTCTTTGCCTGGCTCAGCGACGTAGATGGCCCTGACGTGTTGCTCGACCCATTCCTTGAGAGTGGGAAGTACGATGGGAGCCGACATGATGGATTGGGCTTGTTAAGGAAGAAAGAAGTTATGTGAGTGAGCTGTGCTGTATGGTTGACTTGTGGTTGCTAATTTACTCTCACCAGCTTCTCTGTTCTTTTATAGCCCAAGCATACGTTCTGTGGGTGAGCGTCCATGGAGGTAAGCATTCCTGCGGACGCTCAGCGCAGCTCCCGGCCGTTTCACTTAGCATTCTTGGCTCGTCGGTTGGTCTTTACAATGTCCCAACTTTTCAGTGGCGCATCTCCACACTTAGCTGACGAGGAAGTAAGTTCCGACTTATTCATTCCTTTTGAAACGCCGAGAGAAGTGTTGCTTTGACCGGAGCCTTCGGAGACATGGTTCGTGCGCAGGCCAGAACCGTCCAGACATGATCACGAGGGGATAACATACTACTTTTGACTCCCATGCTACGAAGTTCCAACTGCCACTTTGGCGACCCACCGGCGATCATCAGCCAGTTATTAGACCGGGAATGGCTTGTTGGGCGGCTTGCTATTACATCTGTTGCTCCATTCAAGATTGATAGCTATTTTTTCCCGGCGGTCAAGAAGTCGCTTAGTAGCACTTTGCAACTATGGAGCGAGGATTGCGCAAACTTCCACATAGTCGCAGTCGCTCACCTTAGAGGTGACGACATCTCCTTTGGTTGACTTTTGGTACTTGTTTAGCGTTGGCAGAGTACTCGAGGTGAGTGCGTAGTTCCATCATACCCACAATCCATACCGCACTTCAAGTTGTAGGATAACAATTGATGATGTAAAAGGTGGTGCTCACTTAGGGTTGAATCAGCGGCTGATTTACGACAGCTAGAATCCGCGCTTGAACGCGTCATCTGGATCGTTCAACCTATAACGTTGAACTTGGTGGTCCAGCAGAGCTTTCAGTGTCCCTTCAGCTATCGCGTTGAAGGTTCCGGGTATCGGGGTGTTGAGCTCTTTCTTTCCTGTCTGCGTCGCTTCACGAATTCAGTTGCAGAATGCATTAGATAATGCTTCAAATTGATGGACGGTCAAGATGAATCTAATAGTACAACGTGCCAGTGATCAAGAAATGCAAGGGAATAAATGTATGATAGGTAAGTCCGACACCAACAACAGCTCTACGCTTAGGAGAGCATACAGACACCCTTCCATGATGACTCCACAATAGTGGTGCCTGATTCAAGAATGAATGGATACGCAACTTTGAGCGTATCTTGGGCGGGGGTGGTCATTTGTGATGCGGTGGGCAGTCGGGAAATGTCGTTTGGTACAGATTCTGCACGCGTCGGAGCTCGACGACAACCTGCGACCGCAAAACATGACGAAAATGACATCAATGGATGCCCCCAGCTAAAGAGGAAATCACTAGATTGAAATAACGTACCGCCGTGCAGCCGCAATTCTGGGCTGTTCTATGCCGATGAGCCGAGCTGGATTTGCAAGTATCTGAGCCACAATCATTCACAATGCCTGTGAAGTAACGGCCGTGGAAATGCTGTGGCGAGCGGCGAGTAAGGTGACGATACTGTTCGATTAGTATCTGCCGCGCTCCGCGGACACAACTATGAGCACAACGAACCTGGCAACCGCGGTAAAAGTCTCCCACTCTGAAAGAATGCGTGGTGGTTAGTTCAAGTGCGAACGAACGTGGGACAGGAATGGTCACGAGAGCAACAGAACTTACACTTCGTGTTCACACATGGTTTGCAGTGATGTCACCGGTCGTGGTTGATGGTGAGAGCGGGACGATCCGTCTTGCGACAAGCGATGGGGTGTGGGGAGAAGGAAAGAAACGAATGTGTCTTGTTTTTGAATCTGGCGGTATTTAAAGGAAAGGAACAGACCAATGAGCGTGCCTCGCTTCCATGCATGCTGTATGCAATCAGGGTACGTCCAGATCGAAGCACCATAGAAGCGGTGAACGTACTACGGCAAACAGGGACCAACCAATCCACAAAGGATTGCGGAAGCAAGGAGCACAAAGGCGTTCAATTGCAGCTTGAGGCGTTTGTGGCGATGCCCATCATGATCCATTGTCCATGGGTTATGTGGGTCTTTATGACGAACCCAAATATGCCAGCCAAATCCTCCACGAGGTGGTCGTATTACGCATACAACACTCAAGGGCACAATGACCATTTCCACAGATTGGCACATACGGACATACCAGCCATTTGAGCGTGTACGAATTTCGGCTGGGAGAGTGGCGCCAGTGCGTCGAGGGGACAGCATGCCTGATACA